CTATGTGTCACGCATTCGACCCTGAAGTCCAGGAGACCCCGGAGGCAAGAACCATGCCTTTGTCACGTCTCTCTGAGCACTTCACCAGCACCGTGCTGGGCACAGAGCAACTCGGCAGTAGCCGTGTTGAAGGAAGGGAGCCAACACATGAGTGACTGGTCTACCTAGGCCACTGCCAAGGGGCCCCTGTGGCCTTAACCATAGGCTTGAGGCCCTGAGATGCTCAGAACAGTGTCTCCCCCACTCCATGTATGTTGGGTGGTGGGCTGAGGGGAGACAACTTTTGTCGAATAGTCTTGTGTATGCCTTCTCCTTTGTACCCTCCTTTCTCCACCTGTTAATTTTTATTTTTGTCTAAAATATATATGTACATAAAGAACTTGAAGAGTTCCAGAAGGCCTTTAAAGACAAACTGAAGCCCCTGCCCCTCCTCTCCTCACTCCAATCCCTGGCCCCAGAGACCAACACTTTCAATTCTTCTGTCTATTTATTTTAGCATCTCCCATCAGGTTTCTAAATCATATGCTTATACAACTATTCACACTGAATAGCTGTAAATATTATTTATTTTCTTCCTGTTATGGAAGATGGAGATTTAGCTCAGACACAAACACATCATCTCTCTCTTCCCTCATCTGCCCAATAGAGCTGCGAACATATTTATGAGATCATTAAGTGCTTATATTATTATGCCTATGGAACCATTGTTCACAGCTGAGCCACACTGTACACTATGATACTATTTCCTATCTTGAATAACATCATTTCCCCTGGAATTAAACTTGTCTCTCTCTCTCTTTTCAAAGTTTGCTTAGTTTTCAATCTACTTATTGCTAATTAATTCCACATATCTCTGACAGAAATTAAAATCTTCTCTCAGTATTTTCAAACCATAATTTTTTTTTCTGCCTTTACAACATCCTTCCTGAGTCCTTGCTTTCTCCTGCTCCCATCTGGTTTGAGTGCCTTCTGGGCTCCTACAAGCTCCCTCCACCATCATTCTAGAGATCCCTTTGCCTCTCACAATCAGACTATTTTCTTCCTGTTATGGAAGATGGAGATTTAGCTCAGACACAAACACATCATCTCTCTCTTCCCTCATCTGCCCAATAGCGCTGCGAACATATTTATGAGATCATTAAGTGCTTATATTATTATGCCTATGGAACCATTGTTCACAGCTGAGCCACATTGTACACTATGATACTATTTCCTATCTTGAATAACATCATTTCCCCTGGAATTAAACTTGTCTCTCTCTCTCTCTTTTCAAAGTTTGCTTAGTTTTCTATCTACTTATTGCTAATTAACTCCACATATCTCTGACAGAAATTAAAATCTTCTTTCAGTATTTTCAAACCATAATTTTTTTTTTCTGTCTTTACAACATCCTTCCTGAGTCCTTGCTTTCTCCTGCTCCCATCTGGTCTGAGTGCCTTCTGGGCTCCTACAAGCTCCCTCCACCATCATTCTAGAGATCCCTTTGCCTCTCACAATCAGACCTTCTATTTCCTGAATACTATGTCTTCTCTTTAATTTTTTCCCCTCTTTTTTTTTCTGCAGCTTATCCTTAAGTAGCTAAATGTCTTTATTCTAGCATCTCGCCTGATCAATTGGCTGGGTACAGAATACTAGGTAGCAAACCAGTTTCTCCAAGAATTTGCAAGTATGGCTCATTGTATTCTAAGCGGCAGTTGGGGCTGGTGAGATGTCCATGCCATCTGATCCCAGTTCTTTTCTCTCTAGAGCGTTTAGAATCTTCTTTTTGTCCTCGTTGTCCTGAAGGTTCATGATGATGGTTCTTGGTGTCAGTCTTGTTCATTCATTATGTCCTACTTGGGGCCATCTTTTAATTTGAAAGCCATGTCCTTCAGTTCATTGCTATCTATTTGATCATATCTTCCTCCTCTGTTCTTATTTTCTGCAACTCCTATTCACAGGATGTCAGAACTGAATTGAGTCTCTAATCTTTTCTCTCCTATTATCCCCATCTCTTTCTCCTTTTGTTTTCTTTTTCTGGGAGCAATTTTATCTCCCAGTCCCTCTGTTGCATTTTTATTTTAAAGTTTATCTCAATTTTAATCTCTGAGAGTTTTTTTTATGTTTTCAATAATCCATTCAATAGATATTTATGCAGAATCTACTATATGCCACACACTGTTCTAGGTGATAGGGATATAGCAGTGAATAAAGACAATAACCTCTGCTCTTAGGAGCTATTCCTCTACTTCGTGTTTTGTTTTGTTGTTTTTTTAAACGTTACTTAGGTATAGTTTACATGCAGCAAAACTTAGGAGCTATTCCTCTACTTCGTGTTTTGTTTTGTTTTTTAAACGTTACTTAGGTATAGTTTACATTCAGTAAAGTGAACCTACTTAGGTGTGTATTTAGATAAAACTTAATAAATCATTATACCCATGTAATCACCACAATAGCCAAGGTATAGAAAATTCTGACCCACTCAAAAAAAATTCTTTTTGAGCCCCTTTGCCATCAGTCACCACCTTATCCTGGTCCCAAGCACCCACCAATCTGCCTTCTGACACTATGGGTTAAATTTGTCTTTTCTTGGGTTTCATTTAAATAAAATCATATAATCATATAACCATATAATTTTTCCTCTTTGTGTCTGGCTTCTTTCATTCAGAATAATGGTTTTGAGATGCCTTCATAGTGCGACTTGTGTCAGCAATTTCTTCTCGTTGCTGAATAGTGTTCCGTTGCACACCACAGACTTCTGTCCCTCCTCTGATTGTCCTTATGTGAGAGTGAGGTGCTGCAGACACTGGCTACTCCCCAAACCCTCTATTTCTGCCTACTTGGCTGCCCAGCTAAAGAATACATTCTCCAGCCTCTTCTGTGATTAGATGAGGTCATGTAACCAAGTTTTAACCAATAAAATCGAGTGGAATTTATGTGCTGCTTCTGCCTTGTTTGCTTAAAACAAAATCGCTGCCCTGGATTTCCTCCGTTTTCCCTTCCTGCAAGCTGGAGCCCAGATGGCCCCTGGTTAGATGAAGACAATCTTTTAAGGGATGGCAAGCCCATGAAACGGAAGGAAAGTGGTCTATAAATGACCCGTGGAACAAAGAGAAGTTCATTTCTATCTTCTTTTCTTTCTGTATTTTGGGATCTTGGTACCGCAGCTTAACTTTGCTCTAATTAGTATCCCAAGCAATACAAGCATTGAGAAGCTGGTCGGAAGCTTTGTGTTCTCGAGTGCATGAGTTCTTGTCCTGTGGTGGCTTTGATTCTAAGGTAATGGCTCTCCACAGGTGGCCCAGGTACCCCGGGGGGTCCTTGAGCCCCTTCCAGGGGGTACTAAAGTCAACATTATTTTTTTTTATTGTTTAAAGTATTACAGACAGTAGTACATATGTCTCCTTTCTCCGTCCCCTTCCCCCCACCCCCCCATTGAAAGTCAACATTATTTTGATGGGCCTAGCTAGTGTGGCTCAGTGGTTGAGCATTGACCTATGAACCAGGAGGTCACAGTTTGATTCCCGGGCACATGCCCAGATTATGGGCTCGATCCCCAGTGTGGGGCGTGCAGGAGGCAGCCAGTCAATGATTCTCTGATGTTTCTATCGCCCTCTCTCTCCCCTTTCATCTATGAAATCAATAAAAATATATTTTAAGAAATTATTTTGATGGTACTACTAAACCATTACTTTCGTTTTTCACTCTCATTCTCTCCTGAGTGTGCAGTAGAGTTTTCCACAGGCTGCACGACCTGTGACAGAATGAACGAAGAACCCGAGATTTACAAAAGCATAAAATGATGCCACTCCTCTCACTAAATATTTATGTTGAGGAAGCCATAGTTTTTTTTCATAAAACTATATCAACACATGATGGAGTTTATTATTGTTTTTTTTAAATGAGTAAGTAAATATTTTAAATTTCTCACTTTAACTGTGAGTGAATATATATATATTCCATGTTTTAAAAGCTCTTTGGGGGTACTTAATAGCTTTTAAGAATATAAAGGAGTCCTAAGATCAAAAAATGTAATAACCATTGCTCTAGGGGTAACGGACCTTCCTGGGCTCTTTCATTGGGGATTTCCAACTACCAGGCTCTGTAGGTTTTTCTGTGGGGTTGGTTGCTTTCTCCATGGAGGAATTACCCACTCTTGTGCTTAGAAACTTTCAGGGGCTTCTCACTACACTTAAAACTTTTCAGCAAGGCCTGCACCATCTGGCGTGTGCTTATTTCACTATTGCAATCCTCTGTAACTCACTCATCCATTCATTGTGCTTTGGCCACATTCATCTTCATTCAGTTCCTTCAAAGGGCCAAGTTCTGGCCTGCCTCAGGGTCTTCGCATTGTAGGGAAATGGCTCCACCTGGCAACCCTACGCATCTCCGCATCGCCCACTTGGGCAAGGCTGGAACCCCAGCCGAATCGAGGTCTTGGCAGAACACCTGTGACCCGCCTGGAACGCAAGAGGGCCTCGTGAGGAGCAGCTGCGCGGGCATTTCCCCTTCACTTCCCCGTGGACCAGGAAAGGTGCTGTGAGACGTTTCTCATAGCCTCCGGGTTATCAAAGGGTCTGAGGCTTTCTAAGGAAAAGCCTCTGTCCTTACCCCACTAAGCACATCGTTGCAAACTGTAATACTGCTTAGCTGCCACGGGACCATGGCTTCTCCGCCACAGGAAGTGCTAACGTCTGTGCAGCTCTCGTCTAGCCCACCTGTTTGCATGTCGCCCCACACCTGGGCCAATAGGAGCTGGCACCTTTGACTACTCTTCCCTCTTCGGTGTCTATGTAAGTGACAAACTGTCTGAATCTAAAAGGGGATCCTTGTCTCTTTACTGGCCAGATCTATCCGTTGTGCATTAGCTGTGCTTGAAATGCATGTGCTGAGGAGGCAGCCTGCTGGGCAGGGGCCGCGTGATGTCGCACGGAGCCGGGCTGG